ATCGGGACGTCAGTCATCTCAGTCCCCCGTGACCATGGGTGCTGGAAAGCGCCCGAAACGTCGGGAATTAAAAATAAAAGTAATTAAAAGCAAAAATAGACGCGATAAAATCCGTAAAAGTAGTTTTAATCATGTGTAGTGTTCGCGTAAATATAAGAAATCATTATGTAAACGAGCTCATTGTCCACCAGCTACTGGTAAGTGTTATTCCAGCTCCAAACATAAAGACCATAGCTGCATTGTTGTGCCTGGGACTAATTAAATTAATTTTACTTACATATTCCAAACCACTCAAATATTACCTTTCATCGAAAGATGTGCATGCCCGATGAGCGACAATACTCTTGGATTAGCGGGCGGTTCCCGTTTAGACTTTTTGTTTCGATGCCACCATGTCCAATATAACGCGAATGTTATACAAAATAAAGCTAAAGTCAGCATTTGGATCAAACCTAAAGTATTAGTTATTATTAACATTACTAATATGAATATTGATTTGAATATATGTAAACCTCATAAGGAACCCTGCATATATGAAAAATTAAAAATATATTCACAAGACATGAAGTTCGCCTTGGGCGACGCTATGGGCATTTTACTATTTTAAGTCCTCTCTAAAATGCCGAAGAGACAGGCGCATGCATGTAGACTAGTATTCTTTCCTTACTTTGAAAACATAAAAAATGGTTGATAAATAAATTAACAATAATAATACATTATACATTATTACTGTTTATAGTTGAATAAACCACTAGTCAACCTTTAGATGATAGAGATATAAAACAAAGTAGCCCTATTATAATAAGTTAGGTGTTTAAGTAAAGATGAAAATGTAAACTAAAGTAAAAGCTATAGAACAAAATAATATATAATTATTTACGTGGTAGAGCCATGCTGCAGTTATATTATTAGTATAGTTGTAGCACGAATGGGTCGGCTCGACCGGGGAAGGACCACGCTCTCACAGAATACCAGCGTGAAATAGTAGCTTAATGCTGCTGTATTTCGTATGGTGAGTGTAGAGAACCGGAGACCCTTTTTACTGGAAATGAGGCATTCCATCTTAGTCCTCACGGATGACAACGCATCTGCATTTTGATTTGTAATGGAAGATGGATGTAGATGTCTATGGGCCGCAGCAACCACTTACCATCAGGTGGACTGTGTGCTCGGTTGTCACCCTATTCTATAAAAAAAAAACAAAGTGTCTGTTATCCACAGTTAAGAATCAAAATGCAGATGTATTGTTTCTCCCGAAGACTAAGATGGGGAATACCAGTTTCCAATAAAAACACATGCATGCATAGCATGCTATGAGAGCGTGGTACTTCCCCGATCGAGTCGACCCATTTGCGCTATAAAAAATATAGATGCGGCATGGCTCTACCATGTATAAATAAATTCTTGTGTGTGAAATTTTACATGGACAAAAGACGATACTCGCTCGGGACACCCTTTTACAGCAGAAATCAAAGAAATGGTAAAAAATTGGCAGATCTGCGTGTCGTGGTACATTTCATTGGTGAATGATAATAATTCATTTAGCACTTTATCACATGTATGATGACATGCATGATATGATGTATTTTAGAACATGTATGATGTTTTCTTTTTTTATGGATTTTCTATTTGTTGCTTTATTTTTCGTGTAATAACGATGTTAAAATCGTTAAAATTTTCAGTTGACAATGATTTAATTTTCACGTCTACCCTTCACACTAGGTTACTTATTTATGGTAAATTGTATACTTGTATTATTGCTTTAAAATAAAAGATGACGTAAATACTAATTACAAATGAATTATCATGGTCAAAAATCAACTATAAAAATTCTTGTAAGTTCATAACGATGCAAGCAAAATATTTTATTACATTTACATATTATTTATATAATATTCATACAAGTCTCAACTCTACGTATGTATGTCTAATTCGACGTATATTTTTCTGTTCCGACAGTTTATAAGTATATAGACACCGACTTAATAACAACCGAAAATACTTTTCAGGTTTTGATATCTCAAAAATGTATCGTTTATACATTGTAGACATTTGGTACAACAAGCTTACGATGATTTTCAGATGGCCACAAAACGCCAATATGATACAGTTTTTCATACAAAACAACTTTTTTTTAATTAATAAGGAGTAACATACTTCGTGCATAGAGCACGAAGAATATTGATACTTATTTGCTTGAACAGTCTGAGCACATAATAGAAATAAAAAAGAATAATAGAAAAATTTATCGATGTCATGAGAATAGACAAACACCCACCACAAAGCATGGCTGATTTAGGGTAGCAAGATACGTTAGCAAAATGGACAAATAAAGAACAGAAATTATTGATATCAAGTTGGCAGGGCTCTACGATCAACACATATAAACCAGCATCGAATGGGTCGAAAAATGGAGCGAATCTGATTCGGTTAATTATAATAAATATCCTAACCGAGAACACGTAGCCTGTTATCTGGCACATTTACATTTTGATAAAGATCTTGCTTACAGAACAATTTTAATACATAAATCTGTGATTTCAACATTCACTCACTTAACTTCAAAAGTAGATTTATCAAAGCAAAGTAAAAAGAGTTTTATACAAAACAGCTTCGTTTCAGGACAACGCATAATAGGATAAAATGCTCCCAATTTGTTAATTTTAAACCAAATTTATTGAAATTATCATCACTACTTTATTATTTCGTAAGGTGTCATCATGTATATTTTACTTTATCTAAATATGTTTATTTCACGAGATATTGCAGTTACCTGCATTTACAATGTACTTTAAAATATGACAGCTGTGTTAATTATCACTTGTTCGTTTCTAGACGGGAATTCAAAAATTCGCTTTTAATAAAGTATGTGCAATATTTTTCAGTAATCGCTAAAAATAAAACATTTAATATTATGTCCTTGACTATGATAAATCCTAAATACACCAAGTTTGGAACATAAATATGCAGATGTCTCTTTCTACGTCTTAACGTTTGTGCAGGGTACAAGATTTAGAAGGACGTCAACTCAAATATTTACTAAGGAATTATTTATTTCTTATTCAAGATTATGCAGTGACCAGGATTAAGAAAGGAATGCTTCGGTGGTTTGGTCATGTAGAAAGAATGAATGCGGAAAGACTGACAAAGCATATATATGTCGCAGAAGTGAATGGAAGAGTCGGTAAGGGACGTCCTAGGCGGAAGTTTGTCGACCAAATTGGCGATATACTAAAAATGGGCCAAATTAAGAGTACCCTTAACCGACGAGCATGTATGCGTAGGTATATGGATGTGGAAGAGGCGAGAGAGGTATGTCAGAATCGTGCTAAATGGAAGTTTGTAGTCTCTGCCTACCGCTCTGGGTGACAGGCGTGAGTGTTTATGTATGTATGAATTATTTATTTATCATAGAAAAATACTTTTTCTGAATAAAAAACTTACTGAATATTTATGAGATGAAATGCAGGTACTTTGTTTGAGACTTCGACAAAAAACTTCTTGTAACAAAATAATAAAAATTAAAACTAGAAAAATTTAATGTATTGATACTTAAGAATAATTAACATAAGTATAATATACATCACAAATATCAATATTAAAGTAGTTTCGATAACCTAGTATAACTAATCACAATCATAATAGTAAGTATTCTGTATCTTAACAATCATAAATTCTCTAAAGTTTTATAAAACAATTGTATAAAAAAATGGTTCTTTAACGATAAAAATAAGTAGAAACTAATAGAGCAAGAGCCCGCTTCAGCCAGGCGCACAATATTTCATAAAACCAGAAAGTTTGTCTGCGCACGTCGCCAACACAGGTAAGAACGATGAGCGACTATGTAGTTTGGGTAGTGGTTACTTTGACAGGTAACAGGTAACAAAGGTGTAAAAAAAAGCACCTCAAATACATTAAAAGATAAAGCTCGGTTTTTTGATATTTTCTTTAGAATAATATTTAAAATGATGTCATCCATTGCCGGACACTTAGTATGGTTTTAACCCCCTGCCGGACACCCCCAAACTCAAAAAAATTGTACTTACGCTTACAATATAGTATAAAAGCTGAATTTTAGATATGTTACTTGGGGACTATCAAAAGAAGTTACCCCAGTAGCCGGACAGTTTTCACGGTTTTTACATATTGCCAGAGGCCTTGAAAGTTTGCGGTAAGTGCGAGCGCGAGGCAATACATATTTAGGCGGGTTTGAGTGAGATGGTGAGTTTGCTCTATTGCGAACTTTTACTTACTCAGTATTATATCCTAAACTATTTTTTATACTTAACAAAAAATAAAAATAATAACTTAGCAAAATAATTCCATAAAATTATTTATGACTAAAAAATACATGTAAAAAATTATCTAATAAAATTTTCATGTCTAAAAATCAATAAAAAAAATTAATCCATAAATTTTTAGAGTTTTGTTAACATTTTTAGAAATTCAAGTTTTGACTGTGTGAGCTAATAGTATTGTTTATGGTAAGGAATCCAAAAAATATTTTTAATATGTTCATAGCCATCTTTTATTAAGTAAAAAATATTCTTAATATTGTTACGAGCTTGAGGTTCGTGACAATAATAATTGCCGATAAAATTACCTAAATTAACACTTTAATTTACTTTACACAAATTAAAACTTAAAACACTAATAATTAAACACACTAATTCACTTTATTCCGCTCCGAAGCTTCGCTTGTGTCGCCAATTCCAATACTACCTCGATCGCATCTTGCAGCGCCTATTTATATAAATTAGCAAAGAAGCATCCGGAATATTCAAGTAAATGCGCGCAAAGGGACGAGTGTGCGAGTGTAGATTTTCTAGAAACTTAGTTCTTCGGATGGCGCTGTCGGTTAAGTAGATTTGTGATGTCATTTTCTCAATGCTCCCCTTGCTCTCGTTCCTGACACTAGATGGCGCTAGTGTATCGTCGACTTGAGCGCGTAACAATATTATTACAGAGTTAAAAAAATATTATTGAATACAAAAAATTATTTAATAATGCTCAGAATTTTCATTGTTGTCGTCGATATCTTCATCATCCTCGTCACTACTACTCCAGTCCGCTTGATTGATGTCCAAATCGCCTTCTTCGTCAGTTTCTGTAAAAATTTAACCGAGTTAATACAATTATGAATAATAACAAAATCATGTACATAATTTGATATAGTAATTATATACCTGATATAATTTGTAACGAATCACTGACATAATTTGGTAGCTGATCCCCCTTCAAACCATTTAAAATGGTATTTATTACCCAACCATTATTTTGTGGTTTGTGTATGGTTGGATATTTTAGGTGAGCATTATTCCAAATGCAACATATCTAATTTGCTCGTAGAAATTGCTGGAACAGTTCGCTTTTACATGGTGGTAGGCTGCTAGCGTCGAAATTTCGCAACTTTTTTCGGTCAAAAGCTTCGTTAATATCAGACCGTATATGAATCGATGAATATTTGAAGGCGCGCAGCATCAACATCAATTATACCACCGACATTGTATACGTTGCATATAAACTTCTGAACAATATTAAAAACGTTTTGTTGTTCATCATTATCTTCAATTAATTCATTGTTACCGAATTTCATGAAAGCTTTCTGGTACTCTTGATGTTTTTTTAATATTTTATAAGGTTTTAATTTTCCTTTTCTGAAAAATGCAGGATTACAATCACATCCTGTGATTGCATGAAACCCAGGTAAGCTACGACAAATAGATTCTCCCAACTCTGCGTGAATTTTGGTTAGGTCAACATATCTTAAGTTATTTCCGGTACCTGTAAGCATCCAAACACGTGAATTATTTTTAAGATGATGCATGTTCCCAAGTATTATAGCAGCAATATCAGTATCAACACTTCTGATTACTATATTTGCTTGATAGTTGATGTTACACGCATGATATACTATCTTATTGTCTGCTTCCTCGTGTTCTGGGCATGACAACTCTTCATCAACACTTGAAACGACGTGATTAGAACTATTAACAGTAAATGAATGACTTTGTCTGAAATTAATGTTTATAATTTTATTTCGAATAAATGGCACCACTTCATCAGTAGCCCAATGTGAAATGAAGAAATCAACAAGAGCTTCTTTAAAATTAAAATTTTTCAATGCTTTTGTAAAATCACTTGGTATAACTTGCTCAGGGCCAGTTATCGTAAACTCTAATTGTGCACATTCAAATCGCTGTGAATGTTCATAATCTTTGATCGATGGGGTAAAGTACTGATCAAAGATAACATCAATTCTCGATGCTTGCAATTGAGTGACTATTTGCAACATTTTTTTTGAAATATTTCCAAAGTTTTTTGGAACATTTTTCATCGTATGCAATAAGAAAAAACCATCAATTATTAGAACATCAATATGACGAGGTTGCTCGTGTTGGACCTCTTTCTCTAAAGTTTTCATCAAAGCAGATTTATCAGTTTTGCAAATAGTTCCATCCAAATGGCACATGGACAATGGCACTGAAGTAATTGGGTAAGATAAAATTTTTGAGATATCTACTTTATAATCCATCGAGATTCCCAGCATACGTCCAAATAAATCTCTTTGAATTTTAATTTCTTGAATTTTACCACCTACTTGAACTTTCTTTTTTTTCCATAATCTTTGGAGAAATTGTCTATTGATGCTTTCTTTATGGCTTTTTCGAATCGGTTAATATCTGATAAACACTCAGAAATGAATGTTTTACGGTGGCTATCTCCGTTTACTTCTATATTTAGAAGGAACGCCTCTACCGTTGGTGATGCAGATTTCCCAGATGAAATATTAATCAATTGTTCTTTTGGTACTTCTAAGCTGAAGGGATTAATAAATCGATCGAACGTGGCAATGAATTTTTGTAACTGCTTGGTATTTTTCCGAATATTATGAAGATTCAAGTCTGCAGAAACATCTTGATGAGTTTGTAAGCCTAATTCTAGATAAACTTGGCTTATTATTGTAGATCTCACATCATGATTCCGAGCCCACCGTTGACGTGCTGAAATTGAATTTGTAAAATGTATTACACCTGTGAGCCTTCTAGCGGCATCTGCGTTTATCGTTTGCTCTAATACCAGGTCAATAGGCTGTCTTGAAAACGGCTTGGTAGTCCTTTTAATACTAAAGCAGCCTATTTTAAATCCTTCGTATAAATCTGGATGAGTTTCTGCAACTTTTAACAAATTATCATAATATTTTACGGTCCATCGTGCATAATTTTGTTGATTGCATATAAAAATATATTTGTGATTTTGGGCAGCATCAATTTAAAGAGCTCGAAATTTCCAGTCCGAATGCTTCGTGATAGGTTCAAGTAATAGTTTATAAGGTTGATGTAAATTAAGTAGAACTGTGCAGTTTTACCATGTTCGCCATTGAGAGATTGTTGCTTGTAAATGCCGTAATTATTTATTAATTCTTCTAATTCTTCATTTTCTATGTGAAATGATGATATTTCGCTGTTTTGAAGTCTTTTCACTTCTTCTCCGTTAATGTTGTATTATTATTTTGTAAGAACGATTTAAAATGTAGTATTTCCAGCCAAAGCAACCATAGGGTGTAATCTTTTACAACGGTTGAAGTGTTTTCCATCAAGAAATCCATTCACTGAACCATTTGCCAGCAAATTACTCTCAACCATTACATTTGTTAACCCACATGCACTTATCACCTTACCGATTGCTTTAAAATAAGCCATCATTATATGAAACGGTCCTAAATGTATGAATAAGTTATCAAAATGAGGTTTTTCCATGGCTTGTATTTGGTATGCAACTTTTGCAATGGCAAGATCATATGTAACCTGTATGGAAGGTTGGTGTAAGTCTTCAGCTATTTTCTTACTTTGTTCCATAGTCTCTAGAACTATGGATGTACTGGTTGGAGGTGCATTGAAATAAAAATAATTTGTTGCGGACTGTCATTATTTCAATCCGGCTGTTGAAACCAACCCACATTGGTACATCAGGTAATTCCAAAGCATGACTAATCATCCGTATATTTTCAATTACAGTGTGTAATTGCGAATTTGTAGAGTGTGTAATTTCTATATCATCAGCCTTTAGTTGTAAATCACTTGTCATTTTTGATTTTTTTGGATACGGAATCTCTTCTGTAGATATGCCTTCAAAAGTTCTTCTTTTCCTTTCTCTTTTTTTATTTTTTTGTTGTAAGTTATTACGATTATTTGGAATCGTCGCTTCAGACATCTCAGATTCTTCAGGCATTTCAGGTTCTTCGGCTGTATTTGACTCAATGTTTTGGTAAATAATTCCCACTGTATCATGTAAAGTATCCTTTCCGCTCGTAGTCTCCACAAAACGGTCAAAATTGTCATATGCCACACCAGTAAAAAGTTCAGGTTTCTTTTTAATTTTTTCTGGGCATAAGCTAGACTTTTCAATAGTACTATATGTTGTTTCCGTTTCTAACTAGAAAAAGAGGAACTCCTCAACTCCTTGATAACTTATACAGTGCCCGTATCTATTAACGATATCAATAACTTTTCTACTGCTTGTCAAGCTCTTTAAAGTCATGCCTAACATGATATGCTTTGACGTCTTCACTTGACCATTATGGACTCCAAAAATCACATCTTGACAATAAGAACGAACTTGACGATTACATTTTAAGCTGTTTTTTCGTTTTTGATTGGCTCCACCAAGAAGAGTAAAGTAAAAGTTGAGTAATTGTTGTGGTATCGAAGCTTCTCCTGATATTAAATCCTGCGCTGTAATATTTTTAGCCGGCAACTTTTTCATTTCTATTTGCCATATTGTTTCTCTTAAAATCAATGCCGCTTTTTGTAAAATATTTTCGGTTTGTAAATTTTCCAACATTGTATAGTCTATCATGTGTAAAAATTTCGGTGCTATTATTTTTTTGTTATGAACAATGAAAGATTTAATATCATAAGAAAATTGTTTTAAAATTTTTTCTTCTAGGTGTTGAGCTGTGAAAGTAACGTTCATTTCAACAGAATTGTCTTGAAAAATTTTCTCCAATGAATCAATGTACAGTTCGTGTAAATGGATTAATAAATGACAGCGCCCTTTCTTGATTATGTCTTCCTCGATGATTACACTTATTTCATCAAAAGCCAATTGGTGATATTCTCGATGAAAATGCCAATCACTTTTACTGAATGGTTTTTTTAATAAAGATATTTTATTATTAAAGTCGACTCTACATTCTGTATGATAGTGTATTTTCGGGCTAGAAAAATTTTCCAATCTATTTAATAATTCTGTAAACTCGTCTTGACCTTCGATATTAGGTAATACACTAGATTTAAGTTTGTTGGTGTCTGCTTCGTGAAGTGAAAGCATTTTAGATCGTAATTTTTTATATTTTCTATTACAGAATACACAAACTTTTGGATTATTGTTAATACTGCCATCACTCTCAGTTACATTATGTACTATTGGAGTTGAATGATTATTTTTTCGTACTCGAAAAAATAATCATATACTTCTGACTCAAAAGTTTCAACATTTTCTTGAGATGTTGATGATTGGAGTTCGACCGATTCAGAAATTGGAATAGATTGCAATATTGATGAAGATTCTACAGGTAGAGTCTGAGAATGAGGTTTTTCTTGAGAAGTTGTAGGTTGTGGTTCTATTGATTCGGAAATAAAAGTTGTTTGAGAGATTGTTGACGATTCTGTAGTGATAGATTGTAAATTAGATGGTTCGATGGTCAACTCAGGTGTCAACGGCGTAGTTGGAGAGCGATTGTCTGTAGGTACACTGGCTGATGTTGCTATTTCATTTTTTTAGAACTTCCAGGTTCAAAAATTAAATATTTTTTTATAACCCCTATGAATGCTTTATAGCATTCCCGGTGATAACCACAGTCTGTATATTCATCGGGCAAAATTATATCTTTATATTTTAGGTTGTTTTTTTCTGACATTCAAAATATTTTGACATTTTTTGAAAATTTCCTCTGAAGACAATATTATTTTTCCGGTACTTTCTTTACAAACAAAACAAATTAATTTATTTTCCATGATAACACTTCACTAAAACTCGATCAAATTTATTTCACAAACTACACAAATAAACGATAAAACGTATAGTGAACGTATAATAATTCAACACAATACAATGTAAGCGACAGATGATGCGCAGTAAAAGATCACAATAGAGCAAACTCACCATCTCACTCAAACCCGCCTAAATATGTATTGCCTCGCGCTCGCACTTACAGCAGACTTTCAAGGCCTCTGGCAATATGTAAAAACCGTGAAAACTGTCCGGCTACTGGGGTAACTTCTTTTGATAGTCCCCCAAGTAACATATCTAAAATTCAGCTTTTATACTATATTGTAAGCGTAAGTACAATTTTTTTAAGTTTGGGGGTGTCCGGCAGGGGGTTAAAACTATACTAAGTGTCCGGCAATGGATGACATCATTTTAAATATTATTCTAAAGAAAATATAAAAAAAACCGAGCTTTATCTTTTAATGTATTGGAGGTGCTTTTTTTTACACCTTTGTTACCTGTTACCTGTCAAAGTAACCACTACCCAAACTACATAGTCGCTCATCGTTCTTACCTGTGTTGGGGACGAGCGCAGACAAACTTTCTGGTTTTATGAAATATTGTGCGCCTGGCTGAGCGGGCTCTTGGGCTATAAATTCAGCTCGATACTTAATAATCTTCTAAAACAATACTTAAAAATATACGAAATTAACTAAAGTTTTCTTTTAAATTATTTTTAATTATAATTGCAAAAATTATTCAGGCTCATTACTTTCAGTATAGGAACTATGTTTCATTTTTTTATAAAAGTTATGCTATTTTTTATTTTGTTGGCAAAGACTTAATAAGTCTTTGTACTTTGCAATTGTAATCACGATTTGTTCATATAACATCTTTTGGGATCATTAATTGTTAGTCCAAGACGAGAACGAGTGTTTCCTTTTTTGGACATTCATTCTCTTCATTCATTCATTTCTTTGTTTACTATATTTGTATACTGGCGCACTGTCTGTACTCTCTCCACAATATTATTCTCCTCTGTCTAAGTCTGGTATAATTTAAACACTATCGAAAAATTGAAGTCAGCTAAATAAACTTTGTTCGAGTCTTTTCTTGTGTAAATGAGACTCCCCTGGTTGAAATGAGTTTACATAATCACACAAACCTTTTATTGTAGCGGCTGTGTATTACCTTATTTTTAATGTAATGATGACCTCTCAAATCTTTTTCACAGTTACCAGTAGTTTTATCATATTTATCTAGAGCACTATGTATAAAGCGATTACTTATAGACAGCGTATTTTTAAACATTGTTTTGCAAAGTTTTACGATTCTAGGGCTAGTTTCTTTTAAAATTACTGACAGTGAATAGTTAACACTGTATTTGCGCTTAGAATCGTCCTCTGTAGTGATCCTTTTTTTTCGTGTAACGTTTTGTATACTAACATATAAAAGGCCATTGCTTTTCATGACCACAGATATCCCGAAAACGATCAAAATCAGAAATAACCAACACCAAGGAGGCAAACACTTACAATATACAGAAGATGACAACAGAGAAGTTGAAATGAAGGATTGTACACAATACACAACGGGAAGAGGAAAAAAACAAGAATACCAATCACTTATAGAATTAAATTCTTTCTTAAGATAATAGTCTATTTTACATTATAAAAATACAGTTTAAAATGATGTGTTATCATCATCATAGTGCAACAAAGTAATTATTATAAATTAATGTTTACTCGTATTATGTTAAATTATAAAACAGTTCAGTATATCATAAATAAAGTTTTAATCTACTTATTGTAGTACATTGCCATTAAAACATTTTGTGAAAATAATTACGTAGTCAGAAGCTAAATAGTAATAGGTTACAATTTTGTTTTTGTTACAAGTAGTGAATAAATGTTATTTTCTTTTCTTTTATTTCATAAATCTTTAAGATTAAGTGAGTTTTTAAATAAAAGAGCATGTAAGAAGTGAGTGAAATTTAAAATTTTATTAAAATTTGTAAATTTCAAAGGGCTTGTAAGGATAATAGATAATAGAAAGTAGAATAAACATTAAAAACGGAACGTATTAATGTGAAAGGTGACGGAATTATGGGTAACAATATGGGTATGAAAGAGTAAGATAAAAATAAATTAGTGCAAGCGAGATAGATTATTGTAATTATTTAAGTAGGCCGAGAGAGCAAATAGATCATTACGTGTAATGGCGACGTGTGTTTCATTTCTATCTTACAAGACGGTTTACGGCATAATCACAAACTCGATAATATCCCATTAGTCGCTCTTTACTGCATGCTGGGCAAGTACTCGTAACACAGTTGGCACATACTAGTATAAATGGAATAAAAACTTTGTCAAAAATATCTTGTATATAAATAATCGGCAGACAACCCAAAGTTTCTACACAAGTAACAAATGTTATTTCATTTTCATTGAATAATTAAAAATTAGAAAAATAATTATTAAATTAGGTAAGTACAAAACTAAACAATATAAAAACTTACAGTTTATTCAAATGTTAACGTAAAAGAGCCACGCTACAGTTATACATATCATAATATAATGAATAACCTTGGCTGGGGTAGGACTATGTTTCAGAAAATACCAGCGTGGAACAGCAGAAAATTACTGTATTTCGCATGGTGTGTGTAGCGTATCACAGACCTACTTTACTGGAAAAGAGTATTCTATATTAGTCCTCAGGGTTGAGAACCCGTCTGTATTCGGATTTTTATTATAGAATAAGGGTGACAAACGAGCACACAGTCCACCTGATGGTAAGTGGATGTTATAGCCCATAGACATCTACATTTATCCTCGATTAAGAATCAAAACGCAGATATGTTGTCGCTTCTGAGGACTAAGATGGAATGCCTCGTTTCCAATAAAAAAGGGTCTCCGGATCTCTACACTCACCATAAGAAACACAGCAGTATTAAGCTGCTATTTTACGCTGATATTCTGTGAAAGTGTGGTCCTTCCCAGATTGAACCGACCCATTCGTGCTACAACCATAATATAGCTGCAGCGTGGATGCAGGCGTCTATGCACCATCGAATTACCATCAGGTGGACTGATTGCTCGATGTACACACTTATTTTTTTTTAATCTCACTCCTAAGCAGTTTAAAAGATATGTATTTTAGTTTAATAGACATGATTCACTACCATTATAGGATTTCGTGTAATTACCACGTCTGGTAGGCCGATTGGCGGTCAGAGAATCATCATGATATCTACAACCCGTCGTTTGTCTAGAAATTTAATAGTTTTTCAAAAAACGACATTCGTTACCGTGTTGGTATTTATTTACCTGACATAAATGAATTTAATTTAAAAAGTCTCGTCTTGACCGTGGACTACCGCACCTATGATCACAAAAGCGCTCGAAACATCGAGGATATAAAATATGTAAATTAAACGCGATAAAACCATTAAGGCTTGTCACGCCAACGATCTTAAGTGTCTTGGCAGATTTCTTTACCGATAATTAAGTATAATTTCAGTAGATATAAACCAAGTATTTTTAATTATAAAATGAGACAATAGAGGTAATCTCTAGCAATCATAAACTTAAATTACCCAGAATGCAGCCTACAAATAGTTTATTGTACAATTAATTAAAATTTTGCAAACAATAATAAAAATTCTGTATGACTGGTGCATCAAAATATACACGGCATGTTGGTCAAAGAATTTGAAATTGCATTGTTTTTAAACAGTAACAAGATACTCTTTTTATGTATGACTGAACATTGGTTAAAGTATAACCAATATATAAGTTATAACCATAATGTGTGTAATTTCATTAAACACCAGGGGGTCAGTTGCTTTAACAGAGACAATAATTTACGAGGCGGTTCTTTAATATAAAGAACATAAGGGTATTGTGAGCCTCTTTTTTGAGTGAACTGTTGAAAAGGTACGAGTATGTGTTGAGTTCAAGAACTTAATGGTTGTCAATGCGTACAGACCCCCATTCTACGTATGATTGTTTTGAAAAATTATAGAGAAAGTTTTGCTTAAGTTCAATAAGCACAATAAATCTGTTTTCGTATGTGGAGACTTTAACATCAATCTCCTTGAAACTTCTTCCATGAGTATTAAGTTTAGATCATTGCTCAAATCATACAACCTTTTTAATTTGATTTTAAAGCTAACACGTATAATTGCAATGCCTAGTGCAAGTTTTATAGATGAAAGTTTTACTGATATTGAGCCCCTGCATAAATCAATTATTAAAAACTTTAGTTTGTGATTACTGTGGACAGTTATTCTCATTTACTTACATGCACAAAATGTAGGATAACTTCCTACATTTTGTGCA